ACCACAGACATTTTAAACAGCGTAGAACATTAAATGAAGATATCTTTAAGACGTCTATCAAAAGACGTCTTTCAGACGTCTTCTTTAGATCTTCAGACGTTCAGGCATAATACAGACAAACAAAAGACATCTTCAAGACTTTGTGTGCTATCTGGGAGGGTCCAGTGTCAAAAAATAGTTGTTGTATCCCATGAAGCTATTCTTTATGGTCAAAAATAGATTTTAAATTCAAAAACTTAAGGAAAGTTTACTTAATTTACTTACAGACACCCTGTATATTTTAAACAAGATTAATTATATTTTAAACACAACTTAACCACCCCTCTGCTCGTTATTCAAATTATCTGCCTATAGCGATTAAGCAGATAAGGAAATTTATTACTAAATTATTTTTATCAATATTATGCAAAACCAGTGTGTTATTACAGGACTTATCAGCGATGATATTTAAATAAGTCGTCTTAGCTCCACAACGTTTGAAAATAAGAAGAAATCCTACTGAATACTCAAGTAACTCATATAAATCGATTTATTTAAATTATTATTGATCTCCTACTGCTCGAGTGCTAATAAATATTGCGACTACAAATGATTTTCTTGTAGTACATAGCAAGCTATAAATTATGTAATGGTCACAAATGTGCGTTATTGCCTTTATGGTCAGTGGCGCCACAAAAGGGATGTATACACTGACAGGCAAAAGTATCGAACAAATTCATTAAAAATGAGCCTTTTTTCCCACGTCGATTTTGCTTTTAAATTTCGCACATTTTGATGTAAAATTTGTAGTATTATTAAATATAAAAGTTCGTGATTTAAACATTTTTATTTACAAAAAATATTTGTTATACAGGGTGAGTCATTTAACTTGAAACTTTGAAATATCTCAGTTAGTATGCATTTTACAAAAAAATGTTTAAAATAAAAATTAAATGATTCGAGGGGGTAAATCAGTACTAAAATTGGTCCTCATACTCTCCTCCTTATAGGGGGAACAGGGGGTAACTTTAACGATGTTTTAACTAATAATTAAGTTTCCTTTGGTTTAAGTTTTATACATTATTTCATTTGGTGATAATTATCAATACCGCGTTTAAAGTAAAAAAACATTATTTTGTCAGTTAATTAATTTAATCCTAATTGAGGTATACAAAAATGGTATTTAGTTATAAATAATAATTATTATTGAGGTATAAAGAAACTATTTATAGTTTAGCATTATTTAATCAATTTAGTTCGAAGATTAATTTGCAAACAAAAATACCTCCTTTCGTTAAGCAGTTATTCATAATGGAGAAGCAGGCAGGAATGTTGATGATGCTGTTAATATCTACGCTCAGCGTTTTCCGGAAAAAATTTCGATCACGTACTTCGTTTCACCGTGCAGTCAAGCAGTTTACTACAAACGGGAGTGTTCAACCAAAAAAAAGAGTTCGTCGAGCAACAGTCACAGGTGGAAATATTGAAATAATTGTATTAGCAGCAACGGCCGCTAATCCTCATGCAAGCACATGAGAATTATCTAGAGATTTGGGAAGCAGTGTTAGCAGAATATTAAAACGAAATGCGAATTAATAAATGCATTTAAGTCGAAGGCCACCATTTTGAGCACCTACTTTAATTAAAATTTAGGAAATAAATAAATTTAAAAAATAAAACCAATTAAATTATTTTATTCAAAAATTATTAGAGAATTGTATACAAAAGAAAAATCGAACAAAATTGATTTTTTTTTCATTACACGCCATCTAAACTAAGCACCACTTAATGTGTCGCGACCAAAAAGTTCGTTTTTTTTTAAAACGACATAACTTTTTTGTTTCTTGAACTATTTTATTTTGGTATGTGTTGTCTGCTAGCCTCATCCTCTGGAAATTCATACTATAGATATGAAGGTCATGGTTCTTCAAGTAAATTTCCTACATGGTGATATGTTAAACGGTGAAAAATTTCACCTTCAACTTCATCTAAGCCCCGTTTGTACAAAAATATTTTTTTTCTCGTTTTTGCTTTGGAATAATGAAGTATTCTGTCTTACATAATCTTACTTAAATAATTCTGAACCAGCGACAAGCAACAAACTTCCATTATTTTCAGGGGGCCTAAGCAAAGAACTTTTTAAAAATAACATTTTGGTGAAAATTTGAGAAAACTAAACCTAGACCGATATTTACGTTCGTGACATATTTTCTTCATAATTTTGACCTCCTGATTTTGATTCAGTTGTCAAATTTAAGTTTCAGATAAAACCAAAATCACCAAGAATCAAGATTCGAAAACAATTCCCGGCTGTTAAATGTCTCAATAAAATACGATTACTGGTTTTTACTATTTTTTTGCATCTTTAGAACGGTATTATCTTGTCGCTGAATGATTAAATCGAGGATCAAATGAAAATTAGTTCTTGAAAAACATTTAAAACGCATTATGAGGGATATTCTTGATTTTTTTGCATAAGTTATACCTACCTACCTACATACCTACCCGTATCTTACCCAGGTTACTTTCATTCTTTCTTTAAATGATTAAAATACCAATGCTAGACTTTGCTGCAGCTACGGGAATTAACATCTCCAAATCAAAACCCTTAAATGCACTCTTTTGGAAAAAAAATCATATTTTCGTTGCTAAGATTCCAATTCGAAAAATTTGAAAAGCTTTTTAAGGTAAGACATAATACTTCATTATTCCAAAGTAAAAACGAGAAAAAAAATATTTTTTTACAAACGGGGCTTGGATGAAGTTATTGAACTTTTTCACAACATATCACCCTGTAGGAAATTTACTTGAAAAACCATGACCTTCATATCTATAGCATGAATTTCCAGACAACACAGACCAAAATAAAATAGTTTAAGAAACAAAAAAGTTATGTCGTTTTGAAAAAGATCGAACTTTTTGGTCGCGACACATGTAGTTGTGCGCAGTTTAGATGGCGCTGTAATGAAAAAAAAATCAATTTTGTTCGATTTTTCTTCTGCATACGATTCTACAATAATTTTTAACGAAATTTACTTGCAGAACCGTGAGCTTCATATCTATAGCATAAATTGCCAGAGGATGGGGCTAGCAGGCATCATAGACCAAAATTAAATCGTTTAAGAAACAAAAAAGTTATGTCGTTTTGAAAAAGGACGAACTTTTTGGTCGCGACACATGAGTGAGTGGTGGTGCGCAGTTTATTACAAATATGAAAAAATGTTTTAAACAAAATCTATAACTCAAAAAAAGTCATTTAATGTTTTCCTGATATTGTAAAACAAACATTTATCCATGAAGCCTTAGAAACTGAACCATTGTGCGCCGGACATTCTTAAAATAGGAAAAGTCGCCTCGCGAGTTCCATAGGCGCTCAGCCAAGATACGGCCCCTTGCGACGTGTAATTTGAACAGGAATAAATAATGTTTAAAATTGCTAAGTGCTCATTACCTGTCAAAACTGTTAATATCTGCAAGGTCGTGCATTTTAATATCAGCTAAAAACGCTGCTCCGGGGTGGCTATATTAAAGCTTCTTATGCTTTGTGCATTTATAAGTTTATTTTTAGATACGTATAAGGTATGGTGGGGTGATAGGATGCAGTTAGGTCTTCCTACTTGGTCGTAATGTAGTTTATAAAACGTTCAGGAATTTTAAGTTAAATTAACTGATTTGGATAGAAAAAATAGATGTAATTAAGAGATGTAAGAAACTGTCAGACTGATTGAAATGTCAACAAACCAAAGAGAGGAAAGAAAGGTAGTTTCAGGAAAATAAAGGGATTAGATCTTTGGTTGTTCCTAAACAAAATATTTTTAAAAATACTGTAAAAGTAGTTTCAAAAAATGGTTTTATACTTAGAGGCCTATTCGCTTTCTTGCTGTTCATAAACATCGATTTCTTAACATGTATGGTCACCGAACGACAACCCAAACATCACCTATGTTTAAGGCTATTCCGTTTCGCGTATGTTTAAAGGCTTGACCTTGAAACTTTCTGAACACCGATAAATGTTTCTAGGACAGAGAGTATCTTAGTTTTATAACCAAAAGTCGCAGATCACAAACTAAAATTGTGTTAATGTCATTATCATTAACTTAATGATATTGAGGATAAATTATTAGCCATGACAGGAAAGTTAGTGGTGGAGGGATTACCAACTCTTACACTCGGCATGCCGAGAATGGCATTGACCATCTTTTAAGGTCAACACAGGCTGTGTGGAGGGGCCCATTCTTATACTTTTCTTTGACTATTTTTTTAGTCATAATCATCCTCATTAAGTTCCTGAAGATTGAATCTTGTAGGGGTTAAATTTGTGAACCTTCAAAATTCTCCTTACGCTTCTTCATGATATGCCGGACAATTGACAAAAACTTTTTCATCAGTTTCCTAAAGTATGCGAGACATTTTTTCCTGATTATCTCTAAATAAAGTTTTCAAAAAACTCACTTGTTGCTAATTATTTTATTCGTGTGGCAAACCTACAGACTTGTCACAAAAGTATCGCTTTTACTCAGGACTACTAAAACAATAGTCTATTTCCATGATTTTAATAATCAGGGCAAAAATACCTTCAAAATGAAATATCACTCGACCCCCCTATTCAAATTTTGGGGGTAACTAACACCCACGCTTATGATTAATGCAAGATAAAATCATGCGTTCGTAAACATACGTTTTCAAACATCATATATGTTCACCAAACAACAAATTTTGGAAACGGAATTACAAATTAGACGACATCATTATAAACATGAATGTTTAAGAAATTCTTTGAGCGCATGTGTCTGTAGACGAAATAATTAAAAGGAAATTGGCACATTCGTTACGAAACATACATGTAGTTCATGAACATGCATGTTCAACGAAAAGGCCTATTAAGGTGTGGTCACCGTCCTTTTGCTTCAATTGTTGATAGACTATCGAAATGAGGCAAATCTTCACTTAATCTCGGCCTACCTTGACTGATTTTACAAAAAATTACTCTAGGTCTGGGATTGAAAGTAACAAAACAAAAATTAATTATTTAGTTATGATGGTATATTTTATTTTAGACACACATAAGTAGTATAAAATGATACATAACCTACCTATTTTATTTCCTTTCTATGTAGTAAAGATAAAAAAATCTTCATAATCAGGTTTACTTATTGAATCTTTTGTTGAAGCAATTTCATAGGGAAATTTATTGAATACGTTACCACTAAAAATAAATTGTCAGCTTATTTTAAATTTTATAATTTAGTATTGATTTTTATTACCCTGGATAATAATGGCAAAGATAATATTTGGAATAAGGAGTTTCTGGATCATCTTTTGTTCCAAATATGTAAGCGCAACCAATTCTTCTAGTTTTTCCCCAAATAACCTTAAAAAGTTAATGGGTAAAAGTATAATTTGTTTGTATATTTTATTTACCTGAGTGTATGGCAAGGGTTGATTAATTTTTTTGTACTCAAAGTCATGTTTTTCCCTAGTAAAATGTCTGAACGCATTACTCCACTTTCCATTGGTATTTTTTGTGGGGAATTTTTCCAAAGCCATATCTAGACTGCTGGTTTGGTGGGTATATCTGTTCATTCCGATGTCACCGAAGTTTGCTAAAATACAATATGATCCCTTTAAATTTTTTTAAGGTACTTAAATGTTTACCATCTTCTAAAATATAGCCTTCGTCACAAGTAACCAGTTTTATTGATTCTCTGGCAATCCTTTCAAGATTCATGTCATATTCCTAAAAATTTATTAAATATTATTGTTTGCTTTTATTTATTTCAAAAAGAATTACACTGTTTAAAATATCTGTGAGGTAAAGAGTAATCTTAAAATGGTGTCAAAATCCAACACCAAGTGGTGATAATATAAACACCATGAATTATGGTTGAAAATGTTATATACAGTAAACACCAAAACGGTGTTTATCTAAAATATTTGAGAAGTGCACCTACACAGAAAAAAAGGAATAGTTCATTTAACTATATTAATTTAGTTGACCCATAAGTATTTATTTTTGTATTTTTTTAATTTTTATCAACTGTGGGAAGGTTAATATAAACAAAGATTAGTCTGACGGTACTAAACCAGATAGTTATTTTATTTTCTTTAAATTGGTTAAATTAACCCAGAAAACTTTAGTGAAACCACCCCGCTGTATGGTTCACTTTACTTAATATGTTGTTTGTAAAATAACAGTTACTTCAATCTAAAGCACTCTGTTAAAACGATTAAAACAATTTGCCGTGCATTCCGGTTGCATAGTGTGTACCGATCGCGGCAAAGGCGGTGTGGATCACGTGATGTTCTTAAATCTCGCCTCTGTTGACTGAAGAATATATAAGCTTAGGTAGTCCTTTGCTTTGGTGTGATACTACAAGTTGTTCGATACTAAAGAGACCTTAAATAGGTGGAAAAAGCTGTCAATACTTGAAGTATTTTGAGTTAGTGGAACGCACTAAAAACATTATTTCTAGCGAGTTGAAGGTTCAATTTTCTGGAATAATACCACTGGTAATATACTAGTAATGCGTCAAGGAACTTCATGTTTCCTTTTTTTTCCTTTTTTCTGTGTAGTATGATTTAATTTGAACACAAACACATAATATTTAACACTGAAAAGGAGTTCAATTTATACCAGGTAAAATTTATTTTAATACTGTGTGAAAGTTAAATTAACACTATTTTAGTATTTGAATTTACACCGGACCAACGAACCATATTTAACACCATTTTGGTTTGTATCGATATAGACCATGTATGGTGTTAATTTGGTGTTAAAATGGTCATGAAATTTTGAACAGTGTATAGACTTGAAACGAAAAAAATAAAACTTTAAAACTTACTAAATCAAGCAGTTCGCCTGGTGCAGGAATGGGATGTTTTACTTCCCGACCTTCCCTAATTCGCTTTCTGAGATTGTTATGAAGTTCCAGAATTCTTAGTCTATCATTATCATTCATGCCCTCATCTGAAAATATTTAATAAATACATGTGATGTGGATTGAAAAAATAATCAATTTTAGTTCTTACCCATAACTGAAGTAAGACATGGCTGTGAATTTCGACAACTTGCTAAAGCAATAACCGAGGCTATGAACAACAAAACAAGTACTTTTGTCATGATTATGTTGATATTAAACAACAATAGTGGTTAGATACTTTACATTTTATCATTTTATACTTTTGTTTGATTTGATACATTTCACGGATGTTTTGTTTAAATAATTCAAATAAATTGATTATATTTGTACGAACAGGGCTGGATTTAACGTTTGAAAGGGCTATAAATTATCGGATCTTATTGATTTAGAAAGCCTAACAAGCCCTTAATAAACTCTTTTAGAAAATGTTTGTTTAGTTATTTCAGAATAATTTTTTTTTAATTTTGAAACTTGTGAAACACATATTTTTGCATGTCCCATTAGCGTTTTATAAAACTTACATACATGTTTTTTTTTAAATATTGAATAACCAGAACTTTGTGTTGCTTTATAGCAATCCATAACATCCTTAGTTAATAAAGTAAACAATTTATATATAAATTAATTAATTTTAATCTACTTTTTTTAAATTTGACTCATGTCCAAGACATTTTTTCCGTTTTGTTACGTCCGTCGCGTTACCGATGGAAAATTAAAAAAACATATATATGGCAACTTTTTAGGCACTCACGTGATCAACAAATGATGTTCGGACGTACACATTACCCAGCTGAATTTTTTTATTCAATCAGGAAGAAGATATCGGTTGAAACATGTGCGGGTAACGCGAATGTAATAATTGTTTGTCCGCTAAGTTACTCAAAAAAATAATAAAAATAAGGTAAGAAAAAATACTATTTTTTATGTTTATGTTTATTTTAGGGCACTAAAGCTCATTGAGAGTAATTAATAACTGTAATGTCTTATTATTATTTTTTAAATATGGTTTCACAAAACTTTTTCCACTGCGTTACCGAGTCCATTATGTTACCTTATGGTAACGCAATATAATTTTTCAACAACAAAGTGGATATTTACCGTCGCTTTTATTTAAAGTAGTTTATGATAAACCAATTTAAAATTATTTGTGATTACAACTCATTATATAGGTTACATCCAAGGGAAAATTCCACGCAATATACAAGTACTAAAAGGGACTATCATCAGCTTATAGAAAAAAAAGGGTGTTTACAATTTAGAAATCTAAGTTGTTATTCTGCAAGTGAGCACCACTACAAGGGATTTTGTTTATGCATTACTCTAAAATCGTACCACCCTTAATAGTTTCTTTTTTACGTTATCTGATTGTGTACCCCAGTCCGTTGTGATACCAATGTCTATTTCGTTACTTTTTTTTGGTAATAAGTGTTTATAAATTAGAGTTTAACTCACTAATACAGTGACTAAAAGAAAATATTAATGGTATTGTTTTTTAACAAAGAATCGGAATGGTTTCTTTTAAAAAGTAACTTAACGAACATACATATTTAAAAAAAGCATACAATTTTTAATTAAAAATAAAATAAAAAATTGGAGTCAAAAGTTTGTGAACTAAGTACATTTTATTTCAAAATATTTACTTTTTTTTATTGAATTAAATTTTGGATTTCAAATTGGTAACACAGTGGAGATACGCTAGCTAAACACATTTTTCTGAAAAAAACCTAAAAAAAAATTTAAAAGTGCACTGCCTGTCTTAAATGTAAGTAAACAAAACTCTAAACATTTATAAAAATCCAACCAAAAGTCAATTTAAGCAAAAAAAAATTTCCTGAAAGCGGGTGTTTCTTGAAAATGACCCATCTACTCATATTAAATAATTTTGGATTTTTTCCGTAAATATTGATAAACATTATAAATTGGCATCTCCATTGCTATTAGCACGCCCCCTTTTTCTCTATGGCGCGAATCCTGGAACACCCTGTATAATGATAAACCTTATAAATTTCCTGCCTAAAACGGGAATAATAAGCTTATTATTCACGTTGTTAGGCATCATCGATTGGTCGATTTCAATATTCACTGTGATTTGAACCAATCGGGTTTTAAATTGGGAGAAGGCGACTAATAATATTTTGAAGTGTTAAAAGTAAGGTTAACCATTTGATATGTCATGTCATTTTTGAAAATCATTTAATTATCTACTTATTGGAGTAGTGAGCGTTGACAATAATAAGGCTTAAATTATATATCGCTTGAGGATAAAATAATGTTTTCTAAACATGTTGTTTTTTAAAGATTAAAAATACCCGATTTTAGAAAAACAGCAATTATTGAATTAATGAATCCCTGTTATTATTAACTCATTGTTAGTTTAGTCAGCAACCTTTTAATTGGGCAATAACACCCTATACATATAAAATGTATGTGCAAAACCTATAACTTTTAATTTAATTAAAAATCAATCAATTGTTTTTAATCTTTCGCATGTTATTCATGTTGTAATAAAAACGATAATTTTATTTTCTTACTGCAATAATTAATTACACTGGCCGATAAAATGAAATTTTTTGTTTACGACGTAAGAGCCAACAACTTTTCTAAGGTTATGTGGGTGCGCTGATTCCAAAAATGACCATTATTTTGCTCAGTTGGCATTTGTTTTTGATATGCAATTTCTCAAAAACAAATGCTAATTGAGAATTATGGTTATTTTTTGAATCAGTGCACCCAAATTACCCTAGAAAAATTGTTGGTCACCCTGTGGCAATATGTCTGTCGACCAGTGTTATCAATGCATCTGGCTGTAAAAAGCCAGTAGTTATAAATTTAATTAGGAAACATAAATTTAATTGTCCATAAAATAAACACTTTGTCCAACTACGCACTGAATGAATAGGTAGGTACCATTTTATGCAATTTAACTTTTAATTGTTAAAATTAAATTTACAGCAAAGCAATTCTCACCAGATCCAACTTGACATGCAAAAAGTTTGTTCCTTTAATAAAGTTTAATCATATTGTTATGAAAATGGTTCAGACACGTCCTGTTTGATCATTTCATTATTGTTAAAATATTCTAACTGACATTTGCAAGATTCTGACGACAGCCCAACATGACGGAAGGTCAGACCCAAGCCAAGTTTGATTTTGATGTTAATGAACCCAAGGATGGCCATTTTAAGAAGAAGACTACAAATTGAACGTCAATAAATAAATAAAAATTATCATGAAAATTATGTGATAAAATTTATTATTATTAAGGTAACCAAAACTAAAATATAAAATATAATAAAACCATATCTAATTCAATAAGTACAGTTCATTTTTTTTTAATTTCAAGACCTTATAAGGTTGGCATAACTTCATCAAATGCCTCCTCAATGGCAAAAAAAGTACATCTCCTTATGGACATTTTTGGAGTAAAAAATTAACGTGTTTGGTTTTACAAATATTAAATCACACATTATTTTCAGCTAAGCAGATCATCATTTTTGAAATTTTAAAAATAAGGGGAAAATAACAATTATTTGCTGTTAGGTTCAACCTTTTTGTGAAAAATCTAGTAGTTAATTTTCCTGTCTTTAAAAATAGCATCCATAAGGTTTGAAAAAGCTAAGCAATAATCACGAAACTTTTTCTTCTTTTAATTTGTAAGTTACTGATCATTAATAGTCCTGGGAAATATTTACATTATAATTATTATTAAGCAACTACAAATATTAAGGTCCAGGCTTTAACAAACTACCCTTTATAATAATAATAACACGAATGTTGTCCAATCATTGGACTCCAATGATTGGAAAGGCACACTGCGTAGGACAATAAATCTGTCAACAACAAATGCGTAAGGCAAACCCAAACGAGACCAATAATAAACACTAGACACACAGAATAAACTAACACATTAATCATTATAACCCTAACATAGTAAAAAAAGCATAATAACCAAACTACTGGATTTGTAAACATTAGATAACAGAATAATTGCGCTTGTCATTTGTTTAACTAATAAATAAATGCAATACTTAATTTTGGAATTTAAGAAAAAAAGACAAAACTACCAAAAAACGTGCTTGGGACAAAAATTACGCAAACTTGAACGGAAGATCATTACACTACTAACGACAGACTTACCCGACTACCATCACCAACATCCCCGCGACCTGCTAATGGGCAAAACCATTACCAAAAGGGTAAGAGTAGCCCAATTAAAATACTGGGCCCACGTCACTCGTAGGCAACGCAACAACATACTACAAGCCACCCTTAAACTAGACCTTACAGACAAAAAAGTCGGAAGACCATGCTTCACATTTCATGACACTTTAGCACAAAACATACACTTCTTACAAATTAACAAGACCAGTTGGGAGCAACTAAGCAACAATAAAAAAAATTAAAAAAACAACTGACACACTTTACCAAGTGCAGGAACTATCTGACCAGGACACGGACAATGACAATAACGAACAAGACGAAGACCTCGACTAGGAAACTACACCCCTGCAGCGAAATAACAACTCCCCAACTCCAAATAGTAATCCCAAATGTTTGGAGTAATACTAATCTACTGGTCTAGGAGGATTCCGCGTCGTACTTAGTTTTAAGTCGGCGTAATTGTCCCCCAAAAACCAACAAACGTCTATCCCTCCCGTCCCTCCTTCTCTATACCCTACTGGGCGTATAGCATCTGCTCGGCGAACCCGAGAATGGCTATTTAAATTATTCGCATGTCGCTCTCGAGCCCCAAATAGGGGACAGTACGGAACGCAATGGACACGGGGTCCGGGAGTGATGAGGTTATACGTCTCTTATACTCATACTACTCATACTCATACTCAACTTGACAACCGTTGAATGTAACCTAAAATAATTTAAACATAACCACAATTACATTATAATTACATTTATAACTAGTTTAGTTTGTTTTAATCAATGCAACCAATTTTGATTCCGTAATTACCAACCAAACCCCTAAATTTGAACGTTGCCGCAGTCCAGATAAAAAAAATGGTTTTTAAATAAATATAAATAAAACCTGATACCTATCAAATGGTTAACCTCACTTTTTACCAATTAAATGTTATTATAGTCGCCTTCTTTAAATTTAAAACCCGATTGGTTTAAATCACCGTGAATATTGAAATCGGCCAATCACTGATGCCTAACAACGTGAATAATGAGTTCATTATTCCCGTTGGTAGACAAGTAATTTATAATGCTTATT